CTGATGGGCAACAGTTCTTACAGAGTTTTATCTTTCACAGTGAATTGGACAAGACCACCCTTCAGATCAAGGATATCTCCAAACAGAGGACAGACCTCTAGCAGCCTGTCAAATAGAGGCCTGTCCTCTGCAAAAGAGGGCAGATGGCTACTGTATCAGAATCTGGAGTGTACCACTTTGCAGCATAGGTGTGGGGCTTATATGGTTGAATGCTGGTTTAGGTTCGGCATCAGGAGGCATCATCTCAGAGCAGCAGCTAAGGTTTGCTCCAGGCGGTAGCCCAGTGTCGAAATCCCCTTCTGTGCCTGCTCCTCCTGTCTGTCTTTGCTCACAACAAGGGAAGAGCCACAGCTTCTCCCACTAGTCTTATGCCTCTAGACAGCGGTGAGTAGGGAGACAAGGATAAAGATGAGATGAGCAGCAAGGGGAGAGGGTGAGGAAGGAGCAATTGCTGTCCCTCTTCTGGGGCGACCCCACGAACCGGAACAAATAGCAAAGCTGCAAAGGGTACTGGAGACCAAGTCTCATGAGGAGCTAGGTTGGTTTAGCTTTGGAGACAATTAAAAGGTCATAGGATAGGCATCTCCAAGTACTTGAAGGGCTGTCATACAGATGGTGGAGCAAATGGTTGCTCCAAAGGGTAGCACTCAAACCTGTGGGCTCCGATTACAAGAAAACAGACACCCTTGGAAGCTGGTTAGATGATTCTAAGCAGAAGCTCCATGACCATCTATCAGGGATAATGTAGCAGTAGATTTCTTTCATTGGCAGAGGGTGAGATTTGATGGTTGTTGAGACCCTTCCAATGGGTACTTCTAACTCCATCAACTTGAATCAGCATGGCAATGGATGGAGTTGTAGCCCAGGAAATGTGGAAGGCACCAGGTTGGGGAAAGCTATTATAGGTCCTCTGTGGTGTCTTTCTAGGGCCCTAAAGCCTATGTGTCTTTGTAAAGTAACAACAGTTCTCCAGACTGAAAGCTAGCATATCGTGAAGAAGACATCAAGTTTAAAGAGGGGAAAGTTTTTATTTTATTTTTTTTCAAGTAATCATATATAGGAGCATTCAGTTGTGTGAATCTGCTCTGCAGTTTGAAGCGGAACGATCCAGAAATAAATCCAGGTGGCTGACCACCTCAGGGAAAGCTAGACCCTGGAAACCAGATGTCTGGGGAGGAATTTATTTAGCAAGAAGGAAGGAGTTGTTTTAGCCCAACTTCCAGTTTGCCATTATGCTTGTCTGTCTCTGCTTATCTATCTATTGCTTCCCCCACAAGAGTAAAGAATTTTGCCTCAAACCTCTCTCCTGACAATAAGAGCACAACAAACCAGTCCAAATTTAGCAAATGAATGCCTAGCAAATTGAGCAATCAGTTTGTAAATTAAGGAGATGCATGCAGACTTTTCTGTTTTGCATAATTCATTTTAACAACATAATTTAGGGGGTGGTGTTTATAGGAGACTAGCTTTGTTTTGCTTTTTTGGCTCCCTCTCTCTGCCACCCACCACTGCTAAAGGATACATTATAACAAGAGCCTCAACCAATGGCTGTTGCTTACCAAATAAGGGACAACAAGGGAATAAGACAAATTAAATCCTGGTAAAAATGGAACTGTAGCTAAAAGGCTGAGCTATGAATCATGAAGTATCTGGTGCAAAGCACAGTTTTGCCATGAGCTCACTGCAAGTTATGGATAATAATTATGGTACTTATGTACCTTAGAGCAGCGGTCCCTAGTCTGATGATCTCCAGATGTATGAGACCAGTGATGGCGAACCTATGGCACGTGTGCTTCAGTGGGCACACAGATCCCTCTCTGTTGGCACGCGAGCCGAGTCGCGCCAGCATCGCCCCAGCAGCTGAGCATCGGATAACAGTGCACATGGGGGCCCTACGCATGCTCGGAAAGGAGTTGTGGCGCCAGGTGATGACATCATGAGCTGTGACTCATTAGTAGTGACTCGTCCAAGTTTTCGCATGGCCGGTCATGACTCTGGTAGTGACCCAAATTGGTCGTGAGCCAAGTAAAATTTCCCCATAAGGCTCAATGTAAATAATCCATTCTGTAACTATTTTTTTAATCAGAAAAATACGACAAAGAACAACAAAGACTGTGGCCATCTCCCCCCCCCCCCCCGCCCTGCAACCCTGAGCATGAGCACGGCTGTCTCCCCACCCCCTTGCAGCACAACCACGATCGTGCTCTGCACACGCCCGTCATCCTGGTGCGCTGGGGGACAGAGAGATGGCACGATCACGGGTGTGCTGGGGGAGGGAGAGATGGGCGCGATTGTGCTGGCTGGGGGGAGATGGCCGAGATCATGGTTGCGCTCCTGCGGGAAAGACAGGCTCAATCGTGGGCACACTCATGCAGGAAAGACGGCCGCAATCTCGGCCATCTTCCCCCCGCTGCCCCAGCACGATCACGGTCATCTCCCTACTCCGCCTCTCCCAATGAGGAGTTCGTGACCTGAGTCAAAATTTTTATGAAATGTTTGTTCATGACCCAATTTGGTCGTGAACTGAGGCATTCATGAGCTGAGGTACCACTGTATATATTTGCTTGGACTAGTTGTGATTTGTTTTTTCTAAACTAAAACCTCCATTTTCAGGTTTTATTGTAGTGTTGGCACTTTGTGATAAATAGTGACTTTTGGGTTGTAGTTTGGGCACTCGGTCTCTAAAAGGTTCGCCATCACTGTATTAGACTAAAACTCCCAACATCCTCCCGATGGCTGGTGGGTGCTGGGAGTTGTAGTCTAACACATCTGGAGGGCACCAGGTTGAGGAAGGTTATTGTGAAGATCTAACTAGATAATTTATTTGAAGTACTTTGAAACTGAAGAGTCAAAACATCCTATACATCCATAATGCCAGCTTAATAACAGCAGGTAGGAAGGTATAATCCATAGGGAATATTATTTTTTAAGCCAAAACCTGATCTTGTTGACCCAGGATCAAGGCAAAATTGCATGCTGCTGCTGCTGCTGCTATTATTATTATTGCTGCTGCTGCTGCTGCTACTACTCCTGCTATTCCCTTGAGGAAATGCAGTTTGGTGGGAGCAATTGCACAAGGGATAAGTTCTTTTTTCCCCTCTGAATAAGCTTCATCTGCTGCATTTTATAAAAACAAGAGCCCATCTGTAAAAGGACTCATGGATCTAGTACAGATTAGGTGAACTTTTCTTCTGACTACATATAGAACCTACAGAGACCATGGAACTCCTGGATGGATTGGGCAAATATTTTCAGGCCATGCTTTGAGCCATTTATGTATTGCCAAGAGAGGAGGAATTGTATCACCCAAAACAAACAAACAAATGAAAAGTAAAGATATGCATTTGAATATCATATGCATATGCAAATTATAGGTGGATTTAAAAAATAATAACTATAATTTAAATGGAAATACAGGGCATCCCACCACAGTGGAAAAGATTTACCAGGTAACCTGTGTGCATGGCGAGTCTGCAATCCAGTGGCCAGACGGGCAATTTCAAGCGTCTCCCTTCTTATGGAGCTTTTTTTTTTTAAACTGGACTTAGACTATGCCTTCCTTCACAAACAGGATGACATCAAACCCAGGGCTGTCTCAGAGAGCTAATGTTCTGGCCATGCTACAACATCAGTGCCTGCTATTTTGGGTCCTCTGCAGATTGCATTTGTTTAACAAGAAACTCTGCACACCAACCATCTCTGGACATGCAGAGATAATAACCCTTCAGTTGTTAAAATAATTGTTATTTATCCAGAGATGAAAGAGTTGGGAGTCAAGAAGAGAGATGTAACAATATGGACGTTTTTCAAAAAATATTGACATTTTTATTTATAATGTAAAATGTTATGTTGAAAAGCTGAACTCAGAACTGGAAATGTGTTTGTATGTAAGCGCAGTCCTGTGCAAGGTTAGACAGAAAAGCTCCTACGCCAGTTGCTGGTTGGGGTATGCTTGGAGTTGTAGGCCTTTTTTCCGTCTAAATTGGAACAGGATTGTGCCCTTAGTTGTGTCTTGAGGCAGTTGTTCCTGTTTAAATCATATGACAAATATCAAATGCCATAACTTGAGTGGGCTTTTGAGGAGGTTTGGTAAGCAGTGTAAACCATGTCATATTACCATATTATTTACAAGCTGGGCTGAGTATTAGTGGTGTGGTGTTAACACAGAGCAATCCATGAGATTTGTTTTCAGCAAGACAGATCCATGCCTTTGATCCCCCTGCTCCCTGGTTGTTTTACCATGTGTGCCTTCTTGTATAAAAACACTCATCTTGCTGTATTATGGACTTGTGTATTGATCACAGAGACAAACATGAAATCTATTTAAGGCTTTATTCTAAGATTTGTGGCCTGTATTTCTCTCTAAATAAAGCCAGAGCAGCTAACAGTGTTAAAAATTATCTCAATAAATCTCGACAGAAATGCCAGACAACAGCAGTCGTAGACGAGCTTGATATTGGTTAAAAGCAGAACGGTCTTAACAACTGAAGCAGAGATATCTATTCTGTACTTGTCTCAAAAGATGCAGCAGTAGACTTTTCTGGAAAGGGCATGACCATCAAAATGGTGGCCACAATAATGAAAGCTGTGTTGACCATGATGGTGACCTGAAAGAAGCCCCATTAGAGGGATACTATGAATAGCAGACCCTAGTAAGCTAATGCCTGGCTTGTGAGATCTTGGATGGATCTTCCTGGGTGCTTTTTGGAAAAAAGTGGTGCTGGTCTAGATGGAATTTGGTCTGTCCCAAGAAGGTTAATCCAGAATTCTGGGTGCAGCCAGACCCTTCCTCGAGTTGCACAGGGACATATTAAAATGAACACAGTGAGAATTTCAGTGAGCAAGAAGAGCTCCCAAATACAGAGGAGCTGGTGGACTCGAAGCAAGCCCTGAAGGACTCCCAGAGGTCTGCATGCAGTCAGTGATCGATTTTAGAGCATTTCTAAAATGTGTTTCCCACTGTCCCTGCCCTTTGACTCCTTCACTTCTTTATCTTACAGGTCTAATAATCCATGAAGGGCCCTCAGTGTACCGGATTTTTAAACGGTGGCAAGCAGTCAATCAACAGTGGAAAGTGCTGAACTACGACAAAGCAAAGGACCTGGAGGACCAAAAAACAGGGACCAGGACCAACCAGCGAACCTCCTCTCAGACCAACCATTCATCCTCCTCTGGCGGTGCCACTAGCAACTCTGCCCCAACCGACAGCATGGCCCGGGGAGCTAGTCACACCACAGGCACCTTGTCCGACCACCACTGTGCTTACACCATCTTGCATATACTCAGCCATCTGAGGCCTCACGAACAGAGAAGCGGCTCAAGCACAAACAGGGAGCTTGTCATGAGAGTCACCACGGTCTGAGCAAAGGAATTCAGGAGGCCTTAATGCAACGCCTGCGTGCGAGGGGAACTCGAAGGCGGAGGGGCCTGGTGTGCCTTCGGCTGTGCACAGAGCACAAGAGGGCCTCGGCCAGCCCAGGACGAGAAGAGGCAGATAGCTGCACACTCTGGCCGAAAAGAAGTTAAAGTTTTGCAGTCAACAGAGAGGACAACAAAAGAAGTGCAATACAGACTACAAAAACTGAACTAGGGCAAAGGATTGAGGGGGGAAGCAGAGAAGTACAGCTGGTCTTTTAACAAGGGAATGGGTAAGATTTTAAACAACCACACACACAAACCCACATACACTGGGAGAGAAGGAAGGAAGGAAGGAAGGAAGGAAGGAAGGAAGGAAGGAAGGAAGGAAGAGTATTTTTCAAACTGTATTAACCAGGGGTTCAAGTATTTGAATGCATTTTTTTCGTGGCCCTATGCTATGTTGTGTGTTCACAGGGTGTTCAAGCTGAAATGGCAGTCAGTTTATTGCTATTGTTATTTCATACAAGTAAAGGCTCTGCCCAGATTTTTACTATAGAATACACACAAGTCCCTGATTTACTTCCTCTTCAAACATTAACATTTAGAGATTTTGAGGGAGTGCCACTGAGAAGGGGCAGGCAACTTTCCTTTGAGCCATAAACATCTGAACTAATGTCCAAAGCACAAGTTACTGGGATTTGATTTATGCCATCCATCACTGAAGGGTTCAGAATCTTGGGTTTTCTCATTCATAAATACTGCTTCATTTGCAGGTTTGGGAAACTGGGATTCCTGTTGAAATTTCTATTGACTTTACTCCTGGCCTTTCAGCCCATTCTCTAATGCCAGTTCATTGTTCTCTGAGTCAGTGATTGTTCATAGATCCATATGATTTTATCGCTTTTGAAAGTTTTGTGTCTTAGCCCTACTGTTTACAGACAGCTTTGCTGTTGTGCTGAGCAGCATCTCCCATTTAGTCTTTAAGCCAAGAACATTGCGCTAAACTTGAAATGTAGTCCCAGGTCAAATTCATACTGTGAACCTGGACTACACTCCTACGCACACCTTCCTGGCAGTGAACCTCACTGAACCTGGTGGGACTAACTTCTGAGTAAACATGCATAGGACTGCACAGTACAACTGGTGTGACTGTTGCTTCTCCTCTGTACAAAACTCTATCACTGCTGTTGAGTGAGGTGGTCCAGAGTTCACTAGGAAAGGCTTCTTACCATCTTTATCCAAGGATTCTTTGGTACGAGCCATCGCAATTACTTCGTAGAAGCTATGTATGATTATTATCTACTCTCTACTCTATTGGCATTTTCACAGGTACTGCTAAAAAGGTGCAGTATCCCCAGGTGAAGCTGCCTCAGGATATAGTAGATTGCCATTTTTACTATAAATGTTTTACCAATCCACATGAGTTGACAAGATGACCAGCTTTGTTTGTCTTGGAGCAAATTTGTGAATGCTTTGACAAGTGCTAGACTGTGACTCACCCACATCCTAGAAAATTCTGAAAAAGGTGGATTGAACCAGTTTGAGATGAATCACAGTCTGGACATACCCTGAAGACGACATCCAAATTTGAAATTACAACATCCAAATTTACTGATTAATCAACTTTAGTCCAACTTGTTAAAAGAAGAAGCCCTACCCATACAGATATTATTCCAGGTACCAAGGCAGTGACCTTAATTCTGTTCTGCAGATATCACAGCTCTCCATGATTCCCTAGAGAACATCTCAAAAGAAGGAGAGTCTCACATAAGGTGTCTATCATGAGGGGTTCCATGATTGCTCGCTGGGTGATTCCAGAAGAGGCTTTTGTCACCATGCTTTACTGATGGAATTTTACAGGAGGTACACACTTAGCCAGTTTCCAGTTGTAACTCTCCTGCATTTTTCCATCCCTTCTTCCAGCTTCTCCCTTGCCACCAAAAATCCATTAAGGAAGAAAAGACAGGACAGATGAATGATGAGTTCTGATTGGCAACACTAGTAGCCCTCTGTCTGGAAGATCCCACCATCTCAGGGGCAACTTAGATGGTCTTCCTGGAACAGGGGCTTTAATCTTTCTAAGCATCAGCTACTCATTTGACATCAGATGGATGCTGGCCAGTACTTTGAAAATATCCTCCAAGGGCATTTTAAAACTACCATTGTCGGAAATGTTTGCTCCAGAAGTGGAAAATCAAACTGTATTTGCTTGTTGACTTTGCTTTTTCCTCTGCCTCTTCCATGGTCCTCATTTTGTTCATTAGGCCATGACAGATCACTGTCCCTGCTCCCAGAAAAGAAATAAGTCACTTTTCACAGTCATTGCTAATATGCATATGTTTAATTGACTAATTCATTAAACATATCATGACTGACCTCTCTCCATTACTGTACGCAGAAGATTAGAAACCACTTTACTAGCAGCTATCCAGGGGAATTGCAATTACAGTCCAAGGAGCTGAGATAACACAGATAACAGCTGTGCCTGCATACTTAGCGGCCTCTGTAAAAAGCACCAGTAGCCTGGGGATCTGGGACGGCCCTGCCGTGAGACCGCTGGAGGCAACTGCCTCAGGCAGCAGATTCTGGGAACTGCAGTGGCAGCCCACCAAGCCACTCTTCCTGAGCCCCTGGGGCAACTTGCCTTCTTCAAGGATAGAGCTATGTGTGCCACCCAGCTTGGCCTGCTCTCCCTAAATGTGCCTGCTGCCTTCAGGTGTAATGGGAAGGTGTAATCCCATTAAGGTAAGGTGCAGCTACCAAACCAGGCAGCTTTTGGATGTGGAACGGAAGGAGGTGCTGTCTTGTCCTTTGTCTCAGGCTCCAAAATGTTTTGGGTTGTCCCTGCAGGGGGTTCCCACAGAACAGGTGCAGCCCTGGGCTTGGAGCCCCTAATGTTTTGTGTGGGGCAATGTTATCTAAAAAACACAGGAGTTCTCCTGTTTCCTTGACTAATGCTTGACCCAAAAGTACAGTGCATCCCAGTTTGCATGCTGCTGCGGCTGCTTTTTAACCCTTCTTAGGAGGGTAGGCACAGTCGTTCCGAAGTAAACAAGGCCATGGTGTTCCAAACTGGGTATCTAAAATTAGCCTGCCTAAGGCAAGCTTTATGTGTGTAAACAAAACAGGGCCAGTTCTGGGATTTTCGCTGCTGTTCTGCAGTTATTTTGCTTATGGCCTATCAACCAAAGTTCGAAGAAGTTGTATCAAAACTAAAGAAACACCAGCCTAACACCGGTTTCCCTAGTGAAGCATATAGTTCATACAGACTGTCCAACAAACAAGAAAATGTGCTCAGGAAGAGATTTTCATTCCACCATCTGGAAACTATTTTTTTGTTTTAGTAGATAGAAATAGACAGTGGCCCCACTGATCTTGGCCTAAATGTTCTCCATAAAATTTCCTGTAGCTTTTTTCAAATATCATCCAGCGGTCTTAAAGCTACAGTAATAGACATGCTTGCATCGGCAAAAGGCTTGCTGAACTCAATGGACTTAGCCTGCACTCACGTGCTTATAACTAAACTGTAAGCATTTAGGAATAAAACGTTCACAGTTTTCATCTAATGGCTCAAAATGACTGGAAAAGATATGTATTGTACTGAAATAATTAGTGGAACAATTGCAGAAGACATGCAAAATAGGTGCAAAATCTGTACATGTGTGGAAAAAAATGTTTCTCACATTTCATTTGTGGTTAACATTGTTTTTGTGCAGCATGTGGAACCCAGTGTGATCACTGCCCACATTCTATCAGTCTGTAACTACTGGTTAGAAATTAGGTTTAAAGGAATATATCGCATTTACACATTCCTTGCATTCTCTTCTGTGGGACTCCTTGCAGCGGCTCATCCAGGAACTGATCAGGGCTACACACCTGTTCAGCTTTGGCAGCGCTGCTGGATAAGGTGGTCCCCAAACACTCACTAGACCAAGGAAAACATTTTATTTCCCTGCTCCAAATGCAAGCCATCAGTTACCTGTCACTGTGGCATATAAGGTTAACTGTTTCTTTGTTAATGTGCCCTCACTTTTCTCATTTATGAGTCCATACAAAGTCACAGCGAGTTCTGGGGGGTCCCTGGGCAAGCTGCCCCCCTCCCCAGGAAACTGCTGCAGCTCTTCACTGCGCACTTTTCTGCTAAGCACCAGGCTAAGCAATGCTACCTGTCACCACCTGAGCCCAGTGCTCAGGGCAGCAGAGATGCACTGAAGAAGCCACCACAACAGTCACTGCCAACTTTATTGTCCCAAAATGCCTCTGGGCCCGGAAGCACTGTGAGCAATAAAGAGAGCAGCAGCTCCTACTTGACTTGGCATGTTCTTCAGACTGCTGGGTGAAGGAAAGGTTTCCTGGGAAAGGACAATAGCACCACCAGCCCAGGAGGCTCTCTGGCCTTAGAGGCTCCAGCAAGTGCCCCTCCAAGCCAGGTGCGAACACCAGGCAGGGTCAGCCCCATACAGTTTGCTGCCTGAGGAGAGAGCGAATGGCACTCCCCTGAAGCCCAGGGGGCATCACTGCTGTGTCCTAGTCTGGTTAAATCGTTTTGGCACTTGAGGAAGAATGCCCATCCTCCATCTTCCCCATCCCTCTAGCAGTAAACATATAAGAATAAATTAAAATAACTAATGATTTGGTATGCTTTCATGTTGGTCAAAATCATGAGCTACAGTAGCTAGGCCCTAACCCTAACCCTGCCTCATTGTAACAGCCTCACAACTTGCCCTATCAGAAAATTGGAATAGCATTGTTGTGCATTGCTGACAAGTTGCTAAACTTGCATACATTAGTATATGCAATTTGCATGCACACTTGCATCCTCTTTTTAAGCAATTTGTAAGACGCTACCCTCAGTACACAAATGAGTAGGAAAGGTGTCTTTTTGATGGTGAGACTAAAAAAGGACCAAGTCCTTGCATGAGAAGGGGGCTGTAGGGCGGTATCCAGTACTGCCCCTTCACTTGTAGGTATGACTGCCAGCACCATCTGGAAATCACTGGTGCC